GAGAGAGAGAGAGAGAAAACGAATCAATTTTTTTTTGAAAAAAAGACTGACTACTATTCAGGTAAAACGAACAAACAAACCTTATTGATTCAGGAGTAATAATAATAATAGCGACAACAATATAATCGCAGTAATTGTAGTAGTAGTAGTAGTCATAGCAATAAATAATAATCATAATAATGCTAGTATGTACTAGAAGAAACGCCAATAATCTGTCCAATAAACAGGTGAACTGGACAATAATGGAAGATACACCGGAGTAATTACAAAAAAAACTCAGGAGGTTGTGTGTGTATGTAAGTGTGTGTGTGTGTGGAGAGAGCACACTCAACAAACAAATATGAGCATACAGTTACCCTCTCTTGCTTACTTACTCGCACACACACACACAAACAAGCACAGTCTGTGTTCTACCGTTTTTGTGTATACTCACTTTCTCAGGAGACTATGAGAAAAGACATGAGTGTACATCACTATAAAACTCATGTTGTGTAAAAGACTACTACTAATTCATCACTGCACACACACACACACACACACACAAATAAGCATAGAATAGAGATAATGGTTGAACAAGTTTTTTTCTTTCTTTTGTTTTACTTCAATTGTTTTTATTCTATTCTGTTCTATACGAATAACTGGCAAATACAATGTCGACCATGTTGTATGATAGAGATATTACTGTTTCCGATGAAAGTTATCAAACACAATAAACGCATAGACGACTACAAAGCACATTGATTTGATGATATTTTAGATGGTTGGAGGCAATCGGCCACAGGAAGCCTTGCTTCACCTAGGTTTTGTGCTAGTTGACATTCACTAGTTAGTTAGCAAGGCGTATCTGCAACCTTGAAGGAGCTCATGTTGCTTCTGAGATTCTATCTGGTGTCACTCAGTGAGTGCTGCACTCAGAGACGTTACCACTGAGCTATTCGGGCACTGGGTGACGCGGGTTCGAATGACCTCGAATAGCTCAGTGGTAACGTCTCTGACTACAGCAATTACTGAGTGACACCGGTTCAAATCTGAGAAGGGAAATGAGTTGTCCCGTCAAGGTTGCTGATACACCTTAGTTTGCCAACGAGTGCCAACTAGCACAAAACCTAGGTCAAGCAAGGCTTCCTGTGGCCGATTGCACCCAACTATCTAATATCATCAAATCAATGTACACTGTGATGGGGAGCTATCTAGAATGCTGACCAGATTGCTAACCTGACTGATACAATTCAGTCTGCACCAAAGATAGGACTAGACACCTCACACTAGTTACTAGTGTCAAATCAAAAAAAGGCTACGAAACACATGAAGGACTTAACATTCGGTTAGTTAGATGAGTTCATGAATTCACCCCAATCCCATCCACCCCCGCCCATTCAGACATTAATGATACAAAACACTAGTTGGTTAACGCGTATCCTGTCTACACAAAAAAGGGTTCAAGAACACTATTCCAACCCACCCCCAACCCTCAAATGGTTACAGAAAGGTAGTAATGGCTCTATAAGGTGTGCGATAATCAAACACCATGTCAATAACATTGGTCATTCCATCTCAACAATTGCCAAATCCTTGAAAGTGAAGAATAACCTACCAAAGGTAATATGTTTTAGTCTCATGTGAACATAGCTGACAAACTGTGAAGCTACATCGACTGAAATGGTTAGGACACGTGCTACAGATGCATGCTTATTCATCGACAATGGCCACTGTTAGATGACATGGGATCTATGAAGTTGGAAAAGAGCTAGTGGTCGTCAAACCAAAACCAACACGGCTTTATCAGTCAATGAAATCCACAACAGTTAGTTGAAGCCAGCCAACTAGCCAGTCAGTCACATAGGAAGGTGTAGACCTCTTGACTGGATGGGGTTTACGGGATGCTAAGAACCAATGAAAGTTGGAGACAAGTGGTGATATGGCTAGCTCAAAATCGTTCTCAATGAATAACGCAGATGCATCGATCCTTGTGATTTATAATACCCAATGAAACTATATTGTTCCTCGATACTACAATTCTTTATGCCTCATATCTCTGTTCACTGTCTCTTTTGTGTTTGTTTTTACTTTCTTCTTCTTGTTCTTCTTCTCTGGTTTTGTGTGCTGAGTGAAGTGTGGCAACTCAAACTGCTGCACATCGGTGCAAAGGTCTAATGTTGAAATCAGTCAGTCAGTCAGTCATAGCTACTCTCGTTAAATTATTCATCATAATTATGCAACTATGATACACCAACTTCTTTTATGCTATGACAACTCATCACTGACTACCTACTTATTAATTATCACACCCCTTCCCTTAGGTACAAGTTGATTACTTGCCACATTTTTTTATGAAATAATTTCATGATGTTATCAATAACCCTAACTAATTTTTATTCTTGTCTGACAAACCTGATGTATATATATATATATATATATATATATATATATATATCTTTATCAACAACTGTCTTCTCTGGATCTATACTGAAGATCAGATGGTCGGGTAGGAAAGAATCACCAACAAGAGACTATGGGCACTAACAAACAAAACAAGAACCAATCTCCAACCAACAAATATGCAGGAGAAAGTGGAGATACATTGGACACTCGCTCGCTGAGGAGGTCGCCGCTGGGTGACATCGCGCGCGCGTGTCAGACCATTTCTCGATTGGAACCAGGCCGAAAGGGAAGCACTCGGCGAGTGGGACGTGGGTGACAGGAGGGAAGTGGCAAGTGGAGACGTGCAGTTGACGCCGTATGTTCCATTAGGAACCCAAGGGAACAATAATACTAATAATAATGGTTGTTTCGAGACACCTTTTTGGACAGAAATAGTTCTTATGCATCTTTATGAGCTCAATTTTATTTAGCTCTATTGTAGTGATTATACGCATTGGTGGTGCTTCAGTGGGAGGAGGCTCACCAACCATGCTTCACATATTGATATATAAGTGTAAAACTTGGGCACTGTGGTAGTAAGTAATTCCTGCAATGATTGTCAGGTCAGAGTAGTGGAAAAGGGGCAGTCAGTCAGACTAGTCGAGCATAAAAACCTAGCAGCAAAATCTAAATTAGTTGACCTGAATAAGATAAGAAATCTAGAGAATAATTCAGCCGTAGATAGCACTACATGCAATTACACACAACCATACAATAGGATGAATGGGATAAGATGACAGTTTTAAAATCTAATGTAACAGCAGGGTGGAGGGAGAGATTGAAAACAGGAGCTTTGTTTATCGAATCAACTGCAAATACGTGCAGCAATAAGAATAATCCAACATCTGGAAAATTCTACTACGACGGCAAATAGGAGAGAACAAAGAAAACTCTAAAACTCAAGTTTCGAATTCGTGTGATTATAATTGATGAAATGATTATGAACCGCAGTAAATTTTGTTCGAAACTTCGTCATCCAGTAAACAATAATACTGCTTCACTGACTGTGATATATATATCCATCTAATAAACAAACTAATATGGAATTACATGCCTGCCTCACGTAGTCTGAGGTTCGATTCTCGGCAGGTGCACACCAACCAGTTGTGTAAGTCTGACAAAAAGCGAAGGTTGAGTATGAGACTAGCAACTCCAGCGCGTAAAAAATGGGAACATCACTGCTACTGGAACTTCAAAGCTCAAGCTTGAAGACCTATATGCTGCTGTCCCATTAGGCACAGGAAAGGAATTCATAGATGGGTCACTCCTTCAGAAATACTTGTCCCTCAGACTGTAGTACAATGCAAATAACATTTGAGTTTTTGTTCAAGTGTTTTTTTCACACGCGTTTTGTATTGCGAGTGGAAAATATAGTTACAAGCTTAAAATCTTTGAAGTTTCAGTAATGGGTGTGATGTTGTTTTCCTCGAAGCGAGATTGCTGCCCCTCACACACACACACACACACACACACACCCAAACTTCATTTTTTTTTCTTTCCGGGTTACATTAAGTAGTTTAGAGAAGTGTACATCGGCCCAGAATCGAACTCAACACGGATCATTCCCATCACCGGTGAGAATTCCAGCAATGAACCATCGATGTCATTAAAGCATTATCTATCCATTAGGCCTCACCACCAATGTAGAACTACAAAAGCACAGTCGTCGTCATCTGAAAGTAAACCTTGCCTAGATTACTAGCTCGCTAGTTTTCTACCCGGTCCCAAACCCGGATAAAAAGGGAGGGTGGGGGCGTGGTGCTAGCAACTCCACTTTTAAAACTTGACCGAATTGCTACAGAAACTTCAACGCATAAATATATCAAAAAATCTAAAGATATAAACAATAACCTTATTTTTTGCTGGAATCGGGGAAGCAAAATCACGCAGGCTGGCGAAAGCCTTCCGGTAGCCAGTCAGCCGATGTGCCTTCCTTCTTTCGATGAAAGCAAAAATAAGGATGGGTACCTGGAATGTTCGTACAATGTACGAAACTGGAAAGGCTGCTCAGGTAGCCGCAGAAATGAGAAGATATAGAATAGAAGTGTTGAGAATCTGCGAGAGCAGATGGAACGGATGTGGAAGGTGTCAACTACCAACTGGAGAGACAATAATCTATTACGGTCACCCAGAGGACAATCACGAGCACACCGATGGAGTGGCCATCATGATGTTACCAACAGCAGGTAAAGCTCTCATGCAGTGGGAACCAATAGCTTCCAGGATAATGACAGCCAGGTTCAACTCAAAAGGAAGAAAGGTTACATAATCTGAAAGTAACGGCTTCAAAATATGCGTGAAGTAAATTCAACCCCTGTGGCCTCACAAACAACATTATTATTACTGCGTCGGTGGCACAGTGGTTAGGACTCTCGCCGACCATGCACATGGTCCGGGGTTCGAGCCCACCCCGACGCACACCTGATGTCTATGGTTGGCCTGCGAATTTTGGGCTACCGATATCCACGCTGAAAATTCCATACTTGTACCAAAAATACAGTGTGGAATCAAGCTGTAATCAAAAATAAAATAAATAAATAAATATTATTAATATATTATTTAAAAACTAGCAGACTCACCTTTCATTTTCATACCGACTAGCAGACATTTACGATATCGGCATATTTGACATTTCCCTCGACTTCCTTTGGCGACAATACAATTCCCACCAGTTGGACAAACATTTGTTGGTTTTGTGTCAGCCATTGAATGACGCATAAAAAATTTCTAATAGATACAAAAAAAATAGAGAGAAGAGAAATTAATGAATAATTTATCAAGTGAAAATTAACAAATGTACATAATCAGAAGAAGCAACCACACCTCTCGTTCAACATCTCTCCCTCTCCACCCACCCAAACACCCACACATGAGCTGACATCAATTAGAGAACCATTCAAAATCACTTGAGATACCTAACTGTTGTCGGGTGTAAAGATGTATGGATACTCACCGATCATTCAAGCTGGATGTAGTGCGATAGATGTATCACAAACTAGTAGAAGACAGATTTCATCTGTCATTGGCGTCCGTCTCAGTGACAGATGGTTAACAGGCTCGCATCAAAATCTATCTGTCTGTTCTCATCATAGAACTTTGCACCGATGTGCAACAGTTCGAGTCGCCAAACTCCCTCCATGTAGCACACAAACCAAGAGAAGAAAGTAGGAGAAATGCACAATAGAGACAGTAGACAGGGATATGAGACAAAAAGAATAGTAATAACGAAGAACAATATAGTTTCATTGAGTATTATATGTCACAAGGAGTGAATGCATCTGAGCCATGATCGAGAACGATGATTTTGAGCCATATCACCGATTGTCTCCAGACGCCATTGGTTTTCACCGTCCCGATGACCCTAACCAGTCAGGAAGTCTACATCTTCCTACGTGACTGGCTGGCTTAAACTAACTGTTGTGGATTTCACTGACTGGTGTCATGTTTTGGTTTAACCACTACCACTAGCTCACTCTTTCCCAACATCATCCCTTCTATGTCAGCTAACACTACCCATCGACGAAGGCGATGACTAGATATGCATGTGTAACACATATCCTAACCATCTCGGTCGATGTAGTTTCACAACCTCGTCGGTTGATTTCCCCTCCTTACCCGAAGAAGCAACCAACTTCCACAGTATGGACGGCCAGGAAGTAAAAACCGCCCCCACCCCCACCCAAAAGTACACAAAGCCTCCCCGAACGTCAAAACCTGAATGTCGTGGGATCAACCCCTGGTGAAAGTGTAGGTAGGTAATGCTGAAAAGTCCCAAACCAGGATGCAACATCTGCCTAGTATATTCTTTGGTCTTCAACAGTTCTGTAACTGATGTTAGCCGATGGTCTTTCAACCATGTCCAAGGACGACACAAATAAACTTAACGGCTATCATTTTATACTGTAGATATTCTTTATATGAATTCTATCGACCTCACCTTCCAAAATTGTGTGTCTGTGTGTACACGAGATAAATATTCACGATTTATAGCTAAGGCATGAGGAGATCTCAGAATCAAGTTGATGCCTTATTATTCGAAAAAAAATATATTAATCCGATTGCATATTCAAAAGAAGTATATTATGCAGAAATGTATGGGAGAAAGAATCACTCTGTATATGGGTTTGAGACCAAATGCATCTATCTACATCAGTTAAGACAGTTTTGAGCCTATTCACTAACAATTCCAAACCAACAATGAAAATAAAAAGCGTAGTTCAGCCAAAAATCTCTTTTCAATGACGAATTCATTCACTCACTTAACTGCACAATCGCAATTATATGCACTTATTTGTGTATGTGTGAGTGTGTATATACATTAGGCTTGTCCGATAAGAATAAAAATAAGTTAGGGTCTGATTTCCAACAAACTGGGAGATATGCAAGTGAAAGGCAACAAGTTGAAAGTAGAAGAAGCATCCAGAGATGATAGGAATTCCTTCAGGTGAACATAGAGAAAACAGAGGTAAGTGATGAAGATTCCTGGCCAACAGCAACAACAACAATCAGTCAGCATAAATGGGATAAATCTGAAAGAAGCAACTTCCTTCACCAACCTACCCTACCTACATACCAACCTGGGAAGCATCGTTTCAACTACAGGCGGACGGAACTGACGAGGATATCAAAGTGAGGATCATTGGGAAAGCAAGACACCCTTTTATTACTCTCAAGTATGTGTGGAGACGAACAGCACTCAGCATGAAAAATGAGGTCCAGATTTTCTACTCCAATTCATTTCAGAAGATCCAGTTCTGCTTCTAAGGCGGTCAAGACTACAGATGCGTCGGATCCGAGTGGCCAAACCAAACACAATCGGTTCTCATCATCCCTATCACGATCGCAATCAGACAGTCTCCACCATATACCTCTCTACATGACTGACTCAAACCAACTGGCAAAGGTTACACAAGGATCGATTTGACCACCCTACCCTTAACTCTTTCCCTTAGCCTAACTCCTATATATTAGCTAACAATACTGGTCGTCGAAAAAAGGGCAATACGACGGCTCAGTCTGAGCAATTTATCTGTCCCACAGACATCACAACACAGTTAATCTTAATGAGTAATATTAAGTTAATAAAACAGAATCAGTCTGGTCAATACGGTTAGTCATCAGTGTGAAGTTAGTGTGTTTGGCAATCACTTCTCGCTCATTATCCCATTATATACATATACATACATACATATATATATATATATATATTACAGAGAGATTAAATTTGGTGAAAGAGGGATCGATTCTATTGTATATTCTCATTTTAGATGCTCAATCTAATAGAAACCGACTGAGTGATTAATTAATATTTATTATTATCATGATGGCTATTCAAAAAAGTGAATGACTAAATAACTTGGCATGCTATGGAGTTTGTATGGAAAAAGTCATAAGCCACACCTAAACCCTTCTTTTGAGCAAGAGTTTATTATTATTATTATTGGGCTGTTTATCAATTGTAATCGCTCTGTTGAAAGTTATGCTGAAATTTTCAACCAACCAAACAACTGTACAATCGTATAATAACAATAATAATTATTATTATTGTTCCCTTGCGTTCCTAGTGGAACATAGGGCTTCAACTGCACATCTCCACTTGCCACTTCTGTCTTCCTTCTGCTGTACTTTTCGCCTGAATTCATGTTAGTCAGTTCATACTGTTTCATCTCCTCTCTCTTCAAACGATCTCCTCCCTCCTGTCACCGTTGCATTGACGTCCCACTCGCCGAGTGCTTCCCTTTCGGCCTGGTTCCAATCGAGAAATGGTCTGACGCGCGCGCGATGTCACCCAGCGGCGACCTCCTCAGCGAGCGAGTGTCCAATGTATCTCCACTTTCTCCTGCATATTTGTTGGTTGGCGATTGCTTCTTGTTTTGTTTGTTTGTGCCCATAGTCTCTTGTTGGTGATTCTTTCCCACCCGGCCATCTGATCTTCAGTATAGAGCCAGTGAACACAGTTGTGACCAGTCCGCCAAGTTTCTGATCCGTATAGAAGAACTGACTGACTTGGCGTTGTTTGTATTGAAAATCCGACCGAATTTTGTTGTTGATGTTGGCTGAGTGACGAAGATTTCCGGATTGGTTCCAGGTTGATAAGTGAATGTGTTTCTCGCCTGCCTTCCCGATTCTCGCTCGATTTGACATCCTCGTCTATTCCGACTGCCTGTAGTCGAGACAATGCTCCCTAGCTAGATGAGTGAATGAAGTAACTTCTTTCAAATCCTCCCCATTGTGATAGTGATTGGCACTGGATGTTGCTGTTGTTGGTTGGTTGTTTATTTTCATAACCTCCGTCTTGTCTCTGTTCACCTGGAGTCCTGTCTTCGCCGGCTGCTTCTTCGACCAGTTTGTCGGTCGGTTTTCGCTTCGATTTTCGTCTTCGATTTTGTGTGACATCAAATAACATAAATCATCCAAGCGCGAAATCCAGGTCTTCTAGGTTCTCCACGTCGGTCCAGGATATCCCGACAGTCGTATAAACATAAAGTCAATTATCTTCGCAACGATAAAGGAATATTTCCAAACATGTGTGTCATTAGAAGTGTAAACTTTAAGTAGCCATTTTTATTTAAACGCAGAAAAACACTATGGCACCCAGAAAGACACGCCACACAATAATAATAAAACAACATAGATCAAAGTAAAAATATAGATAAAGAACTTCATCTGGAAGGAAAACAGTCATACTTAAAAAGTTCAAACAGTATTTGTTAACCCTAATCAGGAAAGGAAGAAAGAAGGAAATTACAGCACGTTTGCTATTGATGACTGCCATTCTTGGCTATATCCGATAACGTTTCGAGCCATCGATTTGAGCTATCTCTCGAACTTCAACCAGGAAAATGAGACGCACCAACCAATGCTAATCTAACGCAAAAATCCCTCATTCCACGATGCCACGTCATCGATTGACCACCTCTCCACTTTTTCCATCCCGTCACAGGGCTAGCGAACAGAGACCTGTAAGGAAGCCTCTGCGATGACATTCCCAGCACATGTCCAAGCCACCGGAGCCGGTGTCTCCAGATGATGATACTCAACGAATGGTGATCTCCACTGTGTTCAAACACACACAGCCGCTGAACCTCAGAATTTCTCACGTAATGATGTCATCGAACGGAACCAATCCTGAGGTGACAGCGATGATTCAATAAGTAGAGTCGCAGTACGTTATCAACTCAGATAGGCTAGGTTTTACAGGAGTATAGCAAGACATCCCGCGCCGAAGCATTATATAAATTTTATTTATTTATTTTTATTTTTGATTACAGCTTGATTCCACACTATATTTTTGGTACAAGTATGAAATTTTCAGCGTGGATATCGGTAGCCCAAAATTCGCAGGCCAACCATAGATATCAGGTGTGCGTCGGGGTGGGCTCGAACCCCGGACCATGTGCATGGTCGGCGAGAGTCCTAACCACTGTGCCACCGACGCACCACCAACGACCTTTGACAGCCACACTAACGTCGCGACGGCGCCAGAAGTGGCTCAAGTTGATGTATGCCGCCTTAGCCTTAATGATACGGTTGGAAATCTTATCTGTCACACCTCCGCTAGCACTCACACAACTACTCAGACACACAAACTTATCAATAACGTCAAGCGGCTCACCCGCAAGAGTGAGTGCAGGTACAAGCTCGACAGTATGCACCGATGATCCCTGAAACTAGGATGAAACAGCAGCTGTCCAGTACTCCCTGGTTTTCAATGGTTCTCTAGCTGA